CGGCCCCGCCCACAGCCCGGGCGCACCGGCCTCTCTGCTCGCAGAAGCCCATCCTCTCCTGCAGCAGGCCCATCCGCAGGTTGGCGCCCTCGTCCTGCGGGCTCAAGGCCAGCGCCTGCTTGTAGTCCGCCTCAGCAAAAGCCAGGTTGCCCATCTGGAAGAAGCAATCTGGGGCCCGGGGCTGGAGCTGAGTGGTCTCCCAATTCCCAAGGGCCCAGGAACCCCAGCTCACCCTGCGCCCACTGGGTCTGAAACGTGGCTGCTCGCACCCACCCAAGGGCGCAAACCCAAGGGCATTCGCAGGCCCGGGAAAGCCTTGGCTCAGCCGCTTGATCGAGTATTTGAAGAGCCTGTCGATGGCCAGTCTGTCGTCTCCCAAAGTGGGTCCAGGCAGCTGAGACCGCGAGCCTTCCCGTTTCCCCCCTCCCGCGCTGGGGGGGCTGGGGGCCTCGATCACGCAGCCCAGCCTGGCTGCCTCTGCTCACCACCACGGTTGATGTAGAGGCCTTTTTCCTGCTGCTCGTCCCTGAGGGCCTTGTTGAGCAGCAGCACGCTCTCCTGGTAGGCCCCCTGCCGGTAGCAGTTCACCGCGAAGTCGTTGTAGGCCAGCAGCAGCTGGCGCTGGGCCTGCTGCACCATGTCGCTTTCGCTCTCGCTGGCCATGTCCAGGGCTTTCAGGAAGTCCTCCACGGCGGCATCAAACTCCCCGAGCTGTCGGTACATGGTGCCCCTGGGGACCACCACAGAGGGCTCAGGCCCCTGCTGGGTGAGGGCTTCAGACCAGTCCTGCCCACCAGGCCTGCCCACCTGGCCTGCCAGCCCCTGGAGGAAGTGGGGACTCCCACCTCCTGCACTAGGTTTGCTCTGGCTTTGGTCCGCATGGGGTGGCTACTCAGATGACCTGCTAGTCACTGGGAACTTAATTTTTCTCAAGTTATAGTGCCTTTCTTTAGGGGGGGATGCCAGCCCCCATGCTAAGATGCTGCTGTATGTGGGACAGGCCTTTGGTGCTCAGTTTATATGAGAAACACTCTGGGCTTAAGGAGTTAAATGAACATGAATCTTTTTTTTTCTGTGCATCGTTCCTGGAGGTACAGCAATACCAGGTCGATGCGTGGAGCAGACAGAGCAAGCTCCTATTCCATCTCCTAGTTCCAAAAATCCATTTGATATATTGTCCTTGGATAGCGGACGTACCAGATATTAAACTGATAAGAACAGATACTACTCTTAATCTTAGCCAAAAGGCCGAGAAGCAATGACGATGAATCTTATGTGGTAAGTCCTGGCGGGTTGAAACCCAAACCTTTCTCACTGATCTGGGCTGAGTCTCCCCTGTGAAGGGCTGGCAGGCCTGGGCATCCAGGACTCCAAGGTTAATTGAGGCTGCTGTTTGCATCATTTCCCCCACCCCCCCTCACTCCCCCACCCCACCCCCAGCCCAGTGGGGAGTGGGAGAAGATTCTGAGGCTAGATGGGGACACTAGGGTCTGTGGAATGTCGCGGTCTCCCCAGGAGCACGCAGTAGGTCTGGGGCAGGGCCGGGCCCAGGACCAAACACCAGCACCTCCCCACCCAGTACCGGAAGAGGAAGAAGCTGGGGTCCAGGGGGTTGTTCTCGATGGCACAGTTGATGCGCTTCAGTGCATACCGCAGTTTGCCTTGAACAGCTAGCACCCCCGCCTCTTGCCGGGCCTCTTGGGCCTGGTCCACCATCATCCTGAGCAGCACCTTGGCCTTCGGGTGTGTGGGATCCAGCAGCAAGGCTTTGTGCAGGTCCCGATAGCAGAAGTTGGGCTGCAGGGGGCATTAGGGGCACAGGCCAAGTGAGGGGAGTCAGACCTCCAGGCCTGTAAGAGCTCTCTGCACAAGCCAGCACCAGGCCGCCATCCTCGGTGCCCCTGCCTTGTTTCATGTCTTGAAGGAGGCAGGGAGCATTGTGGGAAAATCCCATTCTAGGCCCCATCCTTGCTGCCCAGATGTGACCTCAGTCAGGTCAGCCTCAGTGGTTTCCGCTGTAAAATGGGGTTACGGCGGTGCTTCCTTGGAGGACTTCATTCCAGGAGGCCTTCAAACAATGACTGTCATGTCCTCCCGGATCCTGCACACCCTCCCCACCCCGACCTCATTTAAGCCCAAGACAACTCTGACCAAGACTGTTCAGGCCTAGGCGTGAGCAGACAACATCCTCAGGCAAATACCTTCCACTGAATGAGCAGGTTGTCAGTCAGTCAGTCAACAAACAGTTTTAGCAAGCAGCCCATGTACTGCAGAGTAATGGGTTGGAGGGTGAGCAGGACAGACAGTCTGGATACCAGGAAAGGAAGTCCGGAGGGGACCAAAGTGGAGGCTGGAGCAAGGCTTTAGGACAGGTGGCCTTGAGATCAAGGCAGCCCTGAGAACTGGCCGGTGACCTTGGGCAAGACCCCCAGCCTCTCTGAGCCTATTTCCTCTGTGAGAAGAGCACCATGGATGGTGTCTACCTAAAGGCTATTGTGAGCCTTAAAGGTAAACATGAGAGACGTGGTTAGCAGGTGCCTTGCTTGGCAGGAGCTGAGGTGATGGGAGAGGCTAAAGTCCTGACAGGTAATAATTGTCAATGATTACTCATCTCCTTTGAGTGAGACTCACTGAATCACATGTGAGGCACAGAAACCCAACCCTAAGACAGGACATGTGTCCAGCTGAGGTGAACCTGGCCAAGGCGGGCCCCCAGTGTCTGCCCTGAGGTGTGTCCGGCCTCCTCACATGCAGGCCGAGGTAGAGCTGAAACCAGCACTCTCCGGCTCCTCCTCTCACTCAGGCTTGCCAGTCCGGCCCTGGCTACCAAGGGGCTGTGGAACTTGCCCCCTCCCAATCTGTCATCTTCCCGCCCTCCCATACCACTCCGCAGTCTCTTCCTCAGACTCCCCCACCAGGAGCCAGAGGATCTTTCTAAAGCCCACTGCCCTGGGGCACACCCTTTGAGCCCCCAGGAAGGAGTCAGTATCTTCCTGGGCCCACAGAACCCCACCCAATGCCTCTTAGACCATGGCCCCTTCTCGCCTAGACCCCTGGTCTCTCTGGCCACTAAGGTTTCCTGTACTGCCTTAGGTGGCATTAATGGGGGCTCTTAGCAGGTGTAGCAAATAAGGAAAGAAGAAAGGACTAGATGAGGAAGAGGACAGGGAGGAAGGGCCTCAGGGTTTGCCCAGATGGCGGCTCCCAAGTCGGCTCCCAAGTGGGCTCAGCCCCCTGCATTGTCTGCTTAGGGACAGCGCCCCTGGGCTGTGAAGGAGGGGTGGGGGGCTGGCGGAAATGGTGCAGGCCTCTCGCCTTGAGCTTTCTGGGACCGGTGCAGGCCCTGGCTGGGCAGTTGAGTGGCCAGGGCCTGCCAGGGGTCTCTGCAGACCCAGGCTGGTTTGCGACTCCTGGGCAGGCCGACAGCCTGTGGGGGTCCTGTCATCTCATAGTGTACTGAGGGCTCACAGGCTGTGGGCCCCCCCGCCCCCACCCACGGCTCTACCTTCTGGAAGTAGTTGTAGAGCCTGGCCCGCAGGATGTAGATGTCGGCATTGTTGGTGCCGCTCTTCACCTCCTTGCTGACGAGGGTGAGGCACTCCTGGTGCCGGTTGAGGGCCAGCAGACAGGCCATGCTAAGGGCAAGGGCAGAAGGCTCCATCTGGCAGGGCGGGGGGCGGCAGGGGGCGTGGGGAGAACCAGTGTGTGCACCTACCATCGGTAGCGGAAGCAGGGGTTCTCGGACTGGAGCTCAGAGGCCTGTGAGAAGACGTTCAGGGCGTCCATGAAAGCACGCTGCTCAAACAGGCACTGGCCCTGAGGACAGAGGGGGCAGTCACTTCTGGGGGTGCCCCCAGCAGCACCTGCAGTGTAGGGGCAACATTGAGACAGAAGAGGTAGGAGACGAGACGAGGCCAGAGACATGGAGATCTAGGAGAGGTTTGCAGAGGAGAGGCAGTCACGCAGGCTGCCAAGCTGCGGCGAGACAGCAAGAGACAGAGACACAGTGACAGAAATGGTGTGACACAAGACTAACTGGTGCGAGACAGAAGACAGCGACGCTGGACAGAGACCCAGGACGTTGGGCTGCCCAGCCCTGTCCAGAACCTGAACCTCTCTCCCTGCCACTAGCTACAGTCGCCTTTTAGATGAAGTAACTTCTCCAAGATCACAGAAGGGGCGGAACGGGACTCAGGCACCCAATGGATAAGCTAAGAGTGTGGCTTGGAGCCTGTACATTTTTTTCTTTTTTTCTAAAGATTTATTTATTTATGCACACAAGAACTGGGGTGCAGGCCAGAGGTGCAGGGGGGTGAGAGGATTCACCAGAGACAGAGTGGGGGGCAGGACAGGCAGATGGATGAGGTACACTGCAGAGGGGAGCAGCAGGGAGACAGGAGAGGTCTGCTGCCCCTGTGGGTCCCTCCCTGGCCGGGAATGGAACTCAGGCTGCGGTGGCTGCGGACAGCTTCACAGTGCTGTGCTTTAACCCCTTGCACCGCCAGGGAGGGCCCCAATTTTTTTCTTTAATAAAACATTGAATAATTATTGACATGAAAGAAAAAGACGTCAAAGTTGTCAAGATGGAAAAACAAATCAGAACTTTGTTGGTATTTTATGGTTTAAAATTGTTTTTCAGTTGAATTGCAAATGGGGGGCACTCTTACCTTTTTTCAGTGTTTAGCGTCTAGACCTGTGCTGCCTACTGCTGTACTACCAGCTTCATGTGGCTACACAAATTTAACTAAAATGAAATAAAGTTGGAAAATTGGTGTCTAGGTCACACTTGCCACATTTCAAGGGCTTTCACTTGACTGTGGCTACAGATTGGAGCGTGCCAAGTAGGCCACAGTTGTGATTCCAGAAAGTTCTATTGGACAGGCTGCAAACTTTACTGAGCTCTGGCATTAAACCAACTTGGGAGGTGGGAGAGGGGCAGCAGGTGAGGACACAAGGGGGTCCCCAGGGAGACAGAGCTGATCCTAGGAACAAGGACAGCCCCCCTGAGCTGGAGGGAGAGCCAGCAGGCCCCGGTGTGAGGAGCATGCCTTGTGTGGGCCCTGGGGCAGCCTAGCACCTGCAGGTAAAGCACCCAGCTGAGCCGCTCCAGGTATTCCAGGTTCTCTGGTTTAAAGGCGTGGGCCCTTCTCAGGTTCTGGGCAGCAGAGGAGAAGTCGCAGAGCTGGATATAGGCTTCGGCTCGTAAGGCGTAGAAATCTATCTGAGAGCGAGAGGGTCTGGGCTGCTGTTTCCTCCCCACCATCTGCCCTGAGGCTTGCCACTCAGTTACAGGAACTTGATGGCCTGAGGGGAGGGGACTGGCAGGTGTGACAGTGAGGGGGAGGTGTGTGCCAGCAACTGCCAGCGCCCACCCTGACTCTCCCTCTCACCAGCCGGGAGTCCAGCTGAAGGGCACGGGAGAAGTACAGCACAGCCATCTCCCAGTCGCTTTGCTCCAAGCACTGCTGGCCACAGTGGTAGCTGCGGGGGGCAGGGACAGACAGAGGGACTGGCTGTAATGTAGGGGCCGCTCAGGGCATGCAGCTAGGATGGGGGAGTGGGTTGTGAGGAGGGGGACTTGGGTGGGGAGGCAGAGACCCAGGGAGAGCAGGCTCATCCGTTCTTGGAGCTCATCCAAGCCAGCAGCGCTGCATCTGCCGGGGTGGGAGAACCCTGAAACACAGCTGAGTCCACTTAAGTCCAGAGAGGGGGAGGAACGGGATGAGGAGGCACATCACGTCAATGGCCATGCCGGGCAGGAAGCTGGGACACCAGGGTAAGTAAGGTAGCACTCACTACTCCCTGACTTTGAGGGGCACTGTTAACCCCGCGACCTTTGGTTGTGCATCATCAAAGTTCTGGAACACCTTGCTGGTCCCAAAGATGCACTCCAGGGTCCTCTTTGGCGCTGGAATTACCCATGGCTTTTTGATGTGGTGTGAGGGAGGTTGGTCAAGCTCCAGAGAATCCTAGAAGGAGGGACAGCAGGCTGGGGCCCGTCTCAGAAATGACCCCCACTCCACTAACATACCCACCTCATGTATTTCACAGGCAGAGAAGCCTGCAGGGCTTTCCCACCTTTTCTGCCAGCCACCCACGCGAGACCTCGAGTCCTCAAGTCCCACTGTCTGTCCCACTTCCTGAAGATCTCTTAGATCCCTCTCCTTCTCTCCTTCTCTCCTCTGGGCTAATGGCATCCCTGCCTGGATGCCAGTTCCAGCCGGTGGCCGGACATCCCCACACACGTCCCACGCCCGCGGTTCTCCGTGCGGCAGCCAGGGAATTTCCTGCATTGCACGATCCTGCCTCTCCCTACTTTAGCCAGTCTTCGTCTCTTCTACCCCGACCTTTGCTTCAGCCTTCTCCCGCACCTCTCCGGAGTCTGTCATGAGGCCTCCTCCGGGAGGATCTCCCGGTGGTGGACGGCTCCCTAGCGCCCCCCAGCCCCCTGGAGTCCCCCAGCTCCGACGTTGCTAGGCACCATCTCCAGGACGCCCGTAGGTCACGCCCCCTGGCCACGCCCCCGAGATCATGTTTCTGTCGGACGGACGTTTGCAAACTTTCCTTAGCTGGGGAGGGTGAGATCTATGTCGGAGAACGGACTTTTCCGGTGTCCGTAGCCCGTGGCAGGGTCACAGACGGAAGCCTAAACAAGGTTCCCGCCTCTCAAGTCCGAGGTCAAGCGAGGGCTCCGCCACTCTCACAACAAACTGCACTGGGACTTGGTGACAGCGCACGAGGAATGCGTGTGGGCACCGGGGCACGGCCGACGCCCGGTCACTTCCGCCCCTCAGAAGCATGGCGGCCCGGCTGCCCGCCCTGGATTGGACGCCGACTGGGGGGGCCTGGACTGAGGGCGACTTCGATTGGTTGAAGGCTGGATGACGTCAGGGGCGTGGCCCTGACCGTGAATGGGGACACCATGCCGCCGCCCGGCCTCTTGGGCGCTGGACTGTGCCTCAGCCGGGCCATGAGCCGGTGCGTTCTGGAACCCCGACCGCCGGGGAAGCGGTGGCTGGTGAGTGGAGCGGGGTGGCGACGCAGGGGCCCTGGGCGCCTTAGTTCCGTTCTGCCGTCCTCTCCCGGGCACTATCCCCCGACCCTCTGCCTCCGCTTTCTTATCTAGAAAATGGGTCGGTCACTCGGACTGGCTCAGACTTCCCTGGAGCAGGGTCCTGCCCGTCCAGCACCAGTTTCCCTTCAGCCCTAGGGGGCCCCCGTTTTTCCAGGCCCCTTCCTGGCGCTCCTCCCTCACTCCCCGCCCTACTTTGCCTTCCCCTTCGGCTGCGTTGAGGGGAGAGAGGGGGTGACGAGAGTGGTCGGGCCTCAGTCTCCCCGCCGCCTCCTGCAGGTGGCTGGCCTGGGGAACGCCGGACTGCCCGGCACACGGCACAGCGTGGGCATGGCAGTGCTGGGGCAGCTGGCCCGCCGGCTAGGTGTGGCGGAAAGCTGGGCGCGCGACCGACGCTGCGCCGCCGACCTCGCCCTGGCTTCGCTGGGGGATGCCCAGCTGGTCCTGCTCCGGCCGCGGCGCCTCATGAACGCCAACGGGCGCAGCGTGGCCCGGGCCGGTGAGTTGAGGTGGGACGTCAGGCCCTGAGAGCGCACTGGCCAGGGAGGGGACTCGGGGCGGGGGCAGATCCATTCACCCCGCTGTCTGTTGAGTTCCAGCGGCCATTGGTGCTTGTGGGCGCCTCCGTTTCTTTATATGTGAAGCTGAGTTGCTTGCTGCTCTCCTTCTGGGAGGCAGCCTTGCGTTGGGACAGCCCCCTTTGGGCAGCTGGACAGTAACCAGGGCCACCCTTCCCTTGCCAAGCCGAGCTGTTTGGGCTGACTGCTGAGGAGGTCTACCTGGTGCACGACGAACTTGACAAGCCCCTGGGGAAACTGGCTTTGAAGCTGGGAGGAAGCGCCAGGTAAGGCCCTGGACTGGTCAGGGCAGGGTAGGGCAGCTGGCCTTCCAGTTGGAGTGCGGCAAGGGTGCCAACGCTAGCCTTGGCAGAGGGAACGGGCACACCGACCCAGGCGGGTTGGGAGGGTGGAAGGGTGCTGACCCTCGAAGCGCTAACTTCTGCTTCCTTGCAGGGGCCACAACGGAGTCCGCTCCTGCATCAGCTGCCTCAACTCCAGCGTGAGTGTGCCCCTCTGTCCCGCAGTGGTTGGCATGGGCCAGCAAGGGGCCCCAGCACCCCTCACCCAATCTCCCGGGGCCCCTCTGGCTCTCCCACAGGCAATGCCCAGGCTTCGGGTGGGCATCGGGCGCCCGACACATCCCGAGGCGGTGCAGGCGCATGTGCTGGGCTGCTTCTCTCCCGCCGAGCAGGAGCTGCTGCCGCCGCTGCTCGAGCGGGCCACGGACCTGCTCCTGGACCACATCAGGGCGCGAAGCCAGAGTCCCGCGTCGGGCCCCTGACGCCGCCCCCGACCGCCCCGCCCACTCGCCCAACCGGGTCTCCACATCCACGCAGGCGCCGCGCTAACCTGTGGTATCTACTTTTTATGTAACTCTACCTCCAGGCCGCCCTGGCTGCCCACAGGTTAAAGGGGGCCTGTGGCCAGAAATGGCCCATTTCCAGCATAGGGGCTGGTCTTTCTGTGTCCTACTTAGAAAATAGGGAAATCTGAGGAAGACTAAACTTCTTGAATTTCTTTGGAGCGTCAGAGCTGTGCACCTGTAGAATTAAAGATGAAAACTGGGAAGGGGAGGCCTTCCTGGGGGTTGCACCCCCAGCCCCAGCCCGTAGAGGAGGGTCATCAGAGCCCAGCAAGCCCACCCTAGGGGACGCAGGCGCTTGGTTTGACACACCAAGGCCTGGCCACATGTTCTTCCATTTCGCAGATGGGAAATGGGGGCTTCGCAGGGACTAACTACCTCCCCAGGGCCTCGCAGCTCCACTGGGGCCGGGCCCTGCTGACCCAGGGTTGACTGCCGTCTCGCCGTCCTTGGGGCCCCGGCACCCTCACCATGGGGCTGCTGAGCGCCCGGGAGCGTCTCACGTGGGTGGGGTGTGACAGCCGCCTGAGGTCCTCAGGGTTGGGTGAGATATTGACGCGTTGAGGCTCCAGGCCCTTGGGCTCATAGGCGGTGACATGGGACGGTTGCTGCAGTAGAGACCCCGCCGAGGAGAACTGGGCGGCGGCCCTGCTGTGGGTGAGAGGGCGGCCTTACCACCTCCCTGCTGAGGTGGACACTGAGCTTCAGAGAGGCCCAGGGGCCGGCTTCTGGCCGGGTCAGCTGAGCACAGCCCTGGGGCCAGTCCCGCAGCTGCCCGCTCCGAGGTCACGCAGGGCCACTCACCTCTCCTGGCACGGGTTGCAAAGCTGTCTCTCCTCGCTGGGGGACAGAGACGTCGAGGAACTTGAGGCAGCGGCTGCCGAGCTGAGCATGGCCAGCAGCTGCCGCATCTCCTTGTGCTGCAGCTGAAACACCACATCAAAGTCGCTGTCCCCGGCGTCGGCATCGGCGTCACTGGACTGCGTCTGCCAGCACGGACGGGGGGGCCTGGTGAGGGGGGCCAGGGCCCTCTGGAAAACTGTACCCCGCTCCCTGTCTCTCCATAGCACTGCCTGGCGGTGCTGGGATACCCATTCACCAAATGGGGAGACGAAGGCTGTGGCTTTCTGGGGCCCAGAGTAGCCAAACTCCTCTGAGGCCTTGATGAGATCTTGGATGTCCAGAGCCAGAAAAGGACACTCCCAGGAGTCTCCTCTGGCCCTGGCCTGGCCCTCTCCTGGTGGCCCAGTTATCTCTGAGCAGTGTCCGACCCTGCGTCCCCTGCTTCCTGTTTACCTGTAGAATGCGGTGAAGGAAGGCGGTGCCCTGGGCCAGGGCCGTCTGGAGTCTTGCCCGCGCCTTCTGCTCTCTGGTCAGCTTGTGCTGCAGCCGCTGTGCCTTGGTCTGCTGCTGCTTCAGCAGGAGAGTCAGCTGGTCTTTCTGGCTCCTGAGCCCAGAGCGGAGGCGTCAGCCCGCAGCCCTCCTCCAGCCCCAGGCCCCTCTGGAGTGGGAAGCGGCAGGTAGGCGAGGCGGCCTCCAGCTTGCCCTGCCTCTTCCCCTGCACCCCCCTCCCCGCTGTACCTCAGCTCCTGGTTGTCCCTCTGCAGCTGCTGGAGGTGCTGCTCCTGCTGGCTCAGCAGGGCATGCAGGCTCTGGGCCTCTGCTGTGTTCTGCTGCTGCTCCTTGCACTTCTCGGTCAGCATGAGGATGATCTGCAGGAGCGGGCAGGTGCGGCCTGGACCCACCACAGGCCCTCGGCTGGCCTTGCTGCCCCAGCGCCCGACACAGCCAGGGCTCACCCCGTTACACCCTGTTCTACAGAGAGGCCCAGGAGGGGGGTGGCACTTCAGCAAGTTATGGGGCTTTCACCCAAGTAAAGAGGAACCAGCGCTGGGGTCAGCACCCTGCAGGCCCCACCAGGAGGGCCTGCCCCACATTCCCACCTCTCTCTCAGACCTTGGCTCCAGCCCCAGGCCTCCAGGTGGGCATCTGCCCTGGGGCCGGGGTCCCAAGCTTCCCCGCCTGGTGGCCACACCTTCTGGTGGCCTCTGCGGTGCCTGACCATGGCCTTCTGGGTGCTCTCCAGCAGCTCCAGCTGTTTGCACAGCTTGTCCTGGCTGTCTTTGAGCTGCTCGTTCTCCTGCAGCAGCTGCACGCCATGCCGCGAGAGCTTGGACAGCTGCTGGGTCATGGCGTTGTTCTCCCTGATGGTCCGCTTGGTCGTTTCCCACATCTGGCTCGTCGCCACCTTGCGGAACTCAGTGGCCACCAGGTTGACGCGCTGGATGATCTCTTTCCTCAGCCTGGGTGCAAGCAAGGAGGGTCCCACAGAGTGGGCGCAGGCCTCGCCAGCCCTCGCCTATGTGAGGGTCCCCAGAGTGTCAGTCACCTCGATACTCTTCCCTGCCCGCCCCCAGGAAGGCTATTGGTGGAGGCTTTCTGTTGTACTCTACCTTTGAAATTTTGAGCCATACCAACGTATTATTGACTACTAAATAAATCTAATTTGTAGCACCAAAAGTGGCAAGAGGACTTCCGGGGGTGGCCGGCTCCGGCGCGTGGACTGGAGCTGCGAGCTCAGTTGTTCCCTCCCGCCGTCACCCGCCAGGCAGCGGCTGGGGGTCGCCCCAATGAAGAGCTGAGGCGAGCAGAGGCCTGGACGGTGCCCAGCCCTGGGGGAAGCCCCGAGGCCCAGCCCGCCTGCCCACCTGTCCTTGTCCAGCACCGACTTCTTCTCCAGGTCGTACACATAGTCCTTGTGTTCACTCTCCTGCTTATGCAGCCGTTCCTCCAGCGTCGTGAACCTCCCGGAGAGCTCCTCTTTCTGCAGCCGGAACTCCTCCAGGGCAGCCAGCTTCCCCCCTGCCCCACCACAGGACACAGGCCTGGTGAGGGCTGCCTCGGGAGCTGCTGGCCCCGGCACCCACCGAGGGCCTCGGATGAGGCCCCTCCCTCCCCGTCTGTCCCAGTGTCTCCGTTGGGCCCTGACCCTTCCTGACCCTCCCACACCCTGTCCTGCCTTAGCCAGGAGTCTGCTGCTCCTTCCCTCCGCCAGTCTTACAAAGCCTTGCTCAGGTCCCACCTCCCAGAAGCCGCCCTGACACCACTCCTTGGCATGGAAATGCATGGCAGCCTCTGAAGCAGCACACCCCGGGTCAGGCACTCTCATGGGGCCTCATGACAACCCCTCCCAGCTGGGTGACCTTGGGCAAGACACTTCCATCTGTAGACAGGGGTGACAGTATCTCCTGCCTAGGGGGATTGTGGGAACAATATGGAAGTTGTTACCCCCCATTTCCCAAGTGAGAAACCGAGGGTCAGAGAGAAGTGCTAGCCCACGCGGGTTGAGGCAGGTCTTGACCCTGGTGCCTCGGCCTCCTGACCCCACACCACGGCACGGGCCTCGTCCATCTCCTCACCGAGGATGATGTTCTCTGTGGTGAGCTGGTCCTTGGTCTCCTGGAACTCGTGGCGCACCTGGGCCAGCTGGGCCTCGAAGGCGTCCTTCTCCAGCTCCTTGGCCAACTGCAGGTTTTGGAGCTGCTCATTGAGGTCAGTGATCTCGTCCACCCGCTGGTTGAGCGTGCGCTTGAGGAAGGCCACGATCTCCTTTTTGTTGGTGGTCAGCTGCTCAAACTCCTGGCGGAAGAGCTTCTCCTGCACGGCCAGCTCATCCCACTTCCGCTGGTACCTGAGGCAGGGGACAGGGTGGCCCCAGGGAAGGGGCTGAGCAAGCCAAAGCTCCCTGCACTGTGGGGCCAGCTCTCCTGGGCCCTCCCTCTGTCCGGTCAGGGCCCTCCAGGGTGGAATTCAGCCTCATCACTGTGCCCCCATCAAGCTCATGACCTCAGGAGCCCAAGCACGAGCTTACCTCCTGGCGAGAATGCCAGCTCTTGAGGCGCCCACACCTGTGTCCCCAGTACCAGTACCGAGAGGACTTACAAGAACCTCACAACTCGGAAGGAATCGGGGGCTGTGACAACCCACATTTTGCAGACGAGAAAAGAGCCCAGAGGAGGAAGAAACTTGTAGGAAGTGGCCAAAGCGCAACTTGAATCCAAGTCAGTGTGACCCCCAAAGTGTAGGCGCCTAACCACGGGCTTCGGATGCTCTCCAGCCCTGCCTGTGAACTCCCTGCTGCTCTGGTGTGGGGGCTGCCTGGCCCTCAGTGGCCCAAGCCACAACTCGCTGCCCCCTCGAGGCTGTCCCCCCCCCGGGGGCCACTGCAAGCTGAGCCCTGATGTCCTGCTTCGCTTATGGGTCCTTGACCTCTGCCACTTCTGTTCTTGGGGCCTTGCAGAGGGACTTAACAGAGTCACCCCAGTAATTGTCCCAACTCCACGAGGTGTCCCAACTTGAGGGAAATCTGAATCTTTAAAAACAGCACGTGATGGTGCCTGGTTCTGGGGCATCACTGAGCGAAGCTGGTTGGAAAGGTGTTTTACTTTATCAGCTGCCCAGCCCACACCTGAACGGCTCCCATTGCCAGGGCTGCGGGGAGTGGGGAGGGAGCCGGAGGACACAGTGGGGGGGCAGGAGGCAGCCTGGAGGAGGGCGTGCTCTGGCTGTGGGTGACGGCCCCTCCCTGAGCCCCCTGTGCAACGGGGCCTCTGAGACTAGTTCAAGGACACGGTGAGCACCGCCCAGGGCCCCTGGACAAGCGAGAGACACAACACCTGGGGAAGAACTGCTTTGACTCATCACCGAAGGATTTCTTTTAAGGGACCAGTCACATCCCCAGAGACTGGGCTGGAGTATCACCACCGAAAGGAAACGAATTTCCAAGTAAGAAAAGTGACATGGAGCGAGTGTGTTTCCTAAGTTAGACAACCCCTCCCCCCCCCAACGTGTGCCACGCAGCCCTGGTAGGGGCCACCCTCACGTCATTGGAGAAACAGGCCCAGCGTGGACAGTGAGGCTCCAGGTCAGTCAGGAGGGTGCACGGCACAGGGAATCTGGCACAGAGGTCCAGGGTGGGGAGAGGGGAAGGAGGCCCCCCCACCCCCAGGGCTGCTGCTTCTAGGCTCCCTTTGATTGAACTCTGCCCTTCAGGCTTGGGTGGGTGATGGGGCCTGGACACTGCAGGGGAAGCAGAGCATAGCCTGGGACCCCGCTGAGGCAGGGTGGCCAGCTCCAGCAGCAGCAGCAGTGGGGTGCGGCTCCCCCACCCACCGGGCCAGCCGGTCCTCCAGGTCGCGGATCTGGATGTGGTAGAACTCGCGCGTTTCCTCGCTTAGGGGCCTTTCCATGGGTGTGATGGACTCCTTCTTGCCCCCTCGCTTCTTCTTGACCTCAGGCTCCTTGGCCCCCTTGGTTGCCTTCTTTTTAGGAGCCATGGCTGCTGGCAGCCTCCGCTCAGGCCCCTTTAAGAGGCCAGGTGGTTGCTAAGGAAGTTGGTCCATACATAGCAACACACTGAGGCAGGCTTAAAGGGCCCCGCTCTGCCTGGCCAGGCTGCACATCCTGCCCTGTGGCCTCCCGGCCTCCCGGTCAGGGGTCCAGGACGACATTGCCAGAGCCCCCAGGCTCAGATCCGCTGGTCACAGCCCCTCAGCGACCTGACACCAGGTCTCTCGGTTTCTGGGGAGACCCTCTTTCCTCAAAAGTGATGTGGGAATATGAGAGGGTCGGTGCTTGCACTCGCCATGGGGCCCCTCTTTGTGCTCAGAGCGACCCCCAACTCCAGGAGCCCGAAAGAGGCCTACCAGCCACCTCTCTGGAGGCTCTGGGACCACCTTGTTCATCCCTCGGTGACGCAGCTGCACGGTGTCACTCCCCGGGGTCACCAGAAGCAAGTGACAGGGAGGGAGACAGGGCGCAGCTCCCCCTGCACAGGCGCGTGCCCCCCCCCCCCACGTCAGCAGGACGTGTATATTACTCAGTGACGTCCTCTTACACCCCGATTCATTCGTTCTTGTGACTGGGGAGATGTGGCAGCAGAACAGCATCGTCCTTTCGTCGGGGGGTAGTTACTGTGCTGACTTTGGGACCTGCCTTCCTCCCCCCTTAAGTGGCATTTGTGGTGTTTTTGAAGTTTCAAAGCGTCCTTCTGGATGACGCCATGATGTGCTCTTCAGTATTAAGTGTGTGTTAGTCACTGACTGCGACTATTACGTGCAGGACATGCATTTTAAAGTAGTCACTGGTGAACAGATACAGCACTTCATCCACTGACCGACACTGGGGCTTGGGGCATGTGGGCAGGGTTTTCACCCCCAGACGCCACGTGGTGGGGGACCACCTCCTCACCTTCGGTGCGGTGTACACAGTACTTACCCAGGGCCGGCATTGCTCCCCTCGGCCGTCACGGGAGGGGATGAAGCCCCTCACCAGGTCTGTGGATCCGTGGTTCATCCGGGCCTGGGATGCCGACGGCTGTCGCTGTTACTCTGCTCCTGGAGCAAATGCTGGTTGTCACCAAGGTGGGTGGACAGACCCCTCAGTGGAGTCCGGCTGAGACCTCTGCCCTGGACTGGGCTCCCTGGACAGGCACTGAGTGACCAGCTGCAGCTCACAGACCTGTCTGGGCTTAAGGATTGCTCTCCCGGCTCAGTTGACCTGCTCCCCCATTCAGTGTGACCTGCTCCCCCATTCAGTGTGACCTGCTTCCCCATTCAGTGTGACCTGCTCCCCCAACCCTGGTTCAGCATCTCCTCCCCTTCACACCAGAATCCCGGCCGCCTCCTGAGGAACCACCTATAGGTCCCTCCGTGCTGACTGACGGAGGACCAAGACTTCAGACAGCCGCTCCTGGTTGGGGGGTGGAATGGAGAGAAATGCTGGAGGCCCTGGGTCAGAAAATCCAGAAGCAGCCAGTGCAAGCCAGCAAGTCGTCTCTGCAGCCCCCGGAAGGAGGAGAGACCCAATTCGGGACGGAGGAATGTAGAATTGAAGAACTTAATCTTGGGTCCTGTTCCAAGGACTTTGGTCACTGGTGGGGCAATCGCTGATGAAAGAGTTTGGTGCTCCCCAGCAGGGGGCTTCACGAGTGACCACCTTTCTGGGCCTTACCCATGAAGTGGCGAGACCAGGCACGTGGGATGGTGCGGGGCGGCTGTGGCGGGGGGCAATAAATGGCCACTGTCATTACCCCCATGAGCCAAACCCACCAGGCCACGGCTGTGTGATGGGGGTGCACTTCTTGCCAGAAACGGTGGGGATTTGAATGTGACAGGGACAAGAGTCAAAGCCGAGGCTCACACACAGACTCCCACTCCCTCTGCGCAGCACCCGAGGATGTCTGCAGGGTGACCCCAGCCCTCACGTAAGGGTCTGCTGCCCACGGTCTCTCGGGCCCGAAGCGGCATTCGAGGCAGAACGGCCGTGGGGGCCACAGGCAGGCGCCAGGACAAGCATCGCAGGTGTCCCCGGACTCAGGCCGCCCAGGCCCTCACGCAGGCGGCTGGGCGGGGGGGTGCGAGTCACAGCCAGCACAGGCCCCCCGCCTGCCCCCGCACCAGGCCGGAGTCACCCCGACACCGAGTGGGTGCGGACTGATTGGTTTATTAGACTCGAGTGCTTTAGTACAGAACGGTACAGATGATACATGTTTGTGCTTCAATACTTCCAAACACTGAGATCTGATCATTTCAAGGTAAACAAGTTTCAAGACAGACTAGCTTTTTTAAAATATCCTTTTGATAAATTATCTTTATATAAATAACAGAGAAAGGAAAACCGACATGTCTGACAGACAAAGGTCCTGAAGCGCGAGCGTCGAGGGGACAGAAGAGGCGGTGGACAGTGCGGGCGGGCCGTGCAGGGCCCTACCTGGCCTGAGGGAAGGGGCTCTCGGGCAGGAGGGAGACAGGAGACCTGGGAACTAATCTGAGTGCAAAGGGCGGGACCAGAGCCTGGAGAAGCCACGTGCCGGGCGGGTGGGCGGGGACGGGGCTGGAAGGAAGCGGCGTTGAATTAGCGCACACCACGTTTGCACGACGTCACGAGACAATATACACGCGCCGGCGGGTGAGAGGGCGGGGGCTGGGACATTTTTGTGACTTCCACTGTCATTATATTTCACGACAACAGCAGCAGAGCAGATGGCGCTCGCCGCAGCTGGAGAGCGGGAGCCGCCGAGCCCGGAGGGTGGCGAGACGCCCTTTCTGTGCGCTCTTTAATGTTGGCTTTAGAGCTAAGCATTCACACAGCTAAGTCTTTATGCAGAGAACGAAAGGCTGGTTTTCTCTCACAAGCACGACACATGAGCCCACACTACACAAAAGAAAGCATAATGAAGTGTCTTAGACTGAGGACCCTCCGAGCGGTGCAGGGCGCAGGCCAGCGGGCTTCTCTCCTCGGGCTGCGGCCAGGGAAAGGACCCTCCTTCAGCCGAGAGCCCCCGGACCCCAGCACGATCCCATCCACGCCTGGCCCCTGAGCCCTCCCTGGGCTGACCCCCAAGGAAAGGTGCTGGGCGGCGGCCAGGCCCAGGCCCGCTCTCTGCCCCTCCAGGAGAGGCCGGTCCCGGTGGCACCTGCCCTGTGCTGTCTGGGTGCGGCGACAGCTCGCACACGGCAGGCAGGCAGGGACAGGCGGCGCGGGGAGAGGACGCAGCCGGCACCCCCCACCTTCCTGCAGCCCCAACCCCGAGTCTGGTTCTGGCTCATGAGCTGCTGTGGAAGCCACAAGGTGGGGCCCAGCTCACACCTCACGAGATGTCACCGGTTTTCACTGCCAAGTTCACCAGGCGGAGTCGGGGCGAGGGGCAGGAGCTGGAGCGAGGAGGGAGGGCGGGTCCTAGTCTGCATCGTTCCGAGAACAGACAGCTGACCCCGACAGAGCAGGACAGCCGCCACGGGCGCCAGACACGCAGTGTCCACTTCCCACACGAGGCATCGTGCACGGGGCCCGGCTATGTACAGGGCCACGGCTGACGGAGAGGCCGCTGGCTCGGAACAGCCCGGACCCCGGCGGCTGTCACGGGCACAGGGGCGTCTCCTTAGGGTACATACAGAAGATGCTCTTTTGAAAAAACACAATGCGTTATTTTCTTTTGTTTCAAACGAGAAGAGGGCATCACTGAACACAGGAACGCAGCACGACGTGCCGCCAGGCGTGCAGAGCGGGCGGGTGGGCAAAGGAACAGGCGGCCGCGGCGGGCCGCGGGGGACTGTGGGGTCGGGCGTGGAGGGAGGCTTATTTTTTTTAACTGCTTATTTCTTCATCTGTTTTATTCAGTTTCTTCAGCGTGTCCAGCAGTTTCTGTGGGGTGAGAATGTGCGTGGATCCTGGGGGAGACAGAAAAGGCAGTGAGTTTGCGGGTTCTAGTTTCAAGCACGTTTTCCTTTCCTGCTTCTGGATTCCCAGGATGCATCTGTTCCTTGCCCCCCACCCCACTCTTGGTCTAGTGGGAGCGGGGGTGGGGTGAGGGGGCTTGGGGGCTGGGGGTTGAGGCAGTAAGACAACAGCCAGGAGACACCTGGGGGTTGGGGGTAAACAGACAGGGCCTTGGGGCGAGCCGGGATGAGCCCGCCTCTCTCGGGGCTCGGTGCCTGCTGAGGACAGGGCGTCTCCGACTCTCTTGAAAGGGTGAAGCCAGGGAGAGAGATTCCAAATGACCGGGTGGAGGGACCTGGGGATGGGACAGGGGTTTGTTGGGGGACAGTGTGGGAAGAATGGAGCCTGCAGGGAGGAAGGTGACAGGTCCAGCGTGGGGGGGGCGGGCAGGTCACGGGGGGGTGGTGACACTGGGGAGCCACTGGTGGGTGCTGCTGTGGTGGGTGGGACCTCAGGTGTGAGGGGAAGGGCCAGGGAACCTGAGGCCTTACCTTGTAGAGACCGCGCATTTGTAAGAGATTTGAAACTCTTGCCAAAGTTTAAGCTAATGGAATTAGATATACTTCTACTGCAAAAATAAAAAAATAAAAAATAAAAATAAATGAAGTCCTTTTTCAGAAGGAGAGAGACAGATCTAATAAGTGCAGTAAAAAAAGATGCATGGGCCGTGTGGTCTGGGCATGGGCTACTCAACAGAAGAGAGGCGGGGCATGAGCCTGGCATGCAGCCGTGGGGGCAGAGGAAGAGGAGGTCCTGCGTCCGCACTTGAAAATGTGCCTCCCTGGGGGTGCGTCAAGGGCGGGGCGGGGCACCCTGAGGGCCAGCCAAGGCCTCCTCCTGCTGGAGGGATTCCAAGCACCAGCGTCCCTGAGCCTCTGACCGCTACTCGCGGGACTGGGGCTGACTCTGGCGCTGGAGCTGCAGGCCTGCACTGGGGCGTTCACGTTCTCTTCTCGGTTGGTCAGTCCAGCCGGGCGGCCGCAGCCCTGCTCCCGCACAGCTCGGCCCAAGGCGCCGTCCTCCAGGCCTCGGCTACTTCCCACCCAGCTTCCCAGCACCGAGCTGAGCGTCCTGCACCGTCCTGTGTGCTGGAGCTGAGGCCCCAATTCCTCCGGCACACGGACGTGGTCTCAGCGGCCGCCCCTCCCTGCTTTGGGAGCTTGGGAGCGCCCTTCTGGGGGCGTGCTGGTCTCTGAGGCCTTACCAGGCACTTACTAGTCTTAGAGCTCTCTACGGAGGCAGGCAGGACTGGGCGTCGAAGGAGCCTCCCCTCCAGACTCAGCTGGACAGTCCCCCTGAGGCGGCCTTGGGTCCCCATGCAGCAATGTGCCTGGGGGCTCCTAGGTGAGGGCAATGGCCAGAGCACCTGCCCTCCTCCCGCCATCCACCACGTCCAGGGAAGAGGGGGGCGAAGCTGATTCTGAGGAAAAATCAAGGGGGTTCACTGGCCACCTGATTATGGAAATCAGGACTCTTGAGAGATTAGCTGGCCTAGCCCCCCTGGATCTGCCTGAAACGCACCTACTGACTTCAACCCGGAGGACTGATGAGCAGCCAGCCTGGGAAGCAGGCTTGGCTCAGCCCTCCCCCAGGCCGCGGATGGGCCCTCCCAGGGTGGTGGCCAGTCTCTCAGCTCTTTGCACCCTTGTGGCCTCCAGGGTCCTGGGTAAGTTCTGAATTCACATTCAAATCTGAGCCCCACTGGACATGAAACTTGTTCAGCCCAGTGTAGAATAAAGCAAAATATTTGCTATGAAAACCCCGCTTTCTCTCTCGTGGTAAGTCCTGTGAGGGCCAGCCTCCACACCCTCCGTTAGTGTCTGATGGCCTCTTGGAGATCCCTAACCATCAGTAGTTTTAACATAATCCAGGGCATCGAGGAGAAAATCTAACAGAGTCCACTTCCTAGATGATTCTGAGGTGACGCTGAGCAGAGGGTCTGAGGGTTGGCCTGTGGAGTCAGTGCCCTCAGCTGTCCACACCCCCCGCTTCAACCCGGGTCAGAAGCTGCTACAGGCCGGAGGCCCAGGCACACGCGGGCCTGCTGGCGGCACTCATTGCTGTGCGGGAAGGCCCCGCTTCTCTAAAAAGCCAAGTTAGAGTAAATCTGGACATTGGCGGGAGCTTGGCGCTGGCATCCTGACGTCCAGCCCCTGCCCCTGGACGATCACAAGGTTAGCCTGCTGTCAGCCTCCCTGTACTAGGTCGGCGCCTCTCCCCGGCTGACCTGCAGGCCCTGCCCAGCCAGTCACCGCTGAAGTGCAGCAAGGGCCTCGTCAGCTCTCTGTCCTGGGGGCAGCTGAGAGCCTCTCAGCTGAGTCAGTATAAAGCAAAGGAAAACTATCCAAGGGGGAGGAGCTGATTCTGAAGTGGGGGACCCCAGAGTGCATCCTAGCAGGAGTTCCCGGGCCAGGTTTGTGGATTCCGTTAGACCCTGCAAGTGGCCTGCCATTGCTACAGCCTCACCTAACACGTGTCCTTCTTCTTGCAGAAAATGCTGTCACCTACGCAAGACCAGACCTCTGACCACCGGCCTTCCAGGAGCTGGGCTCCCACGGCCGCTTTCGACCATCGCTTTCACCCCTGCCCGCTGGCCCGGCTCTGGGGGGCAGCCCCATTTCTGCATCACCACCACTTTTTCTGTTTGCTGCCTCAGTAGTGGCCTGAGGGGAAGGCAGCGCCCCTGCCAAGGAAGGCGGGGGGCAAAGGGCAAGTCCCCTGGGAAGGAGCTCGCCTCTGCCGCCGGCCCAGCTGCCCAGGCGCTTCTGAGATACTCATGACAGACTGACAGAAGGTGGAGGGGCGGGGGCCTGAGGGGCTGCGGTCCAGCCTCCCTCCTTCCTGCATTGAGGCCCCCACACACGAATGTCCTCTGAGAGCCACCCGCAGCCCAAGACGGAGCTGGGGCTGGAGTCCAGGCCGCCCCCTGCTCACAGGTGACTCAGTCGGTGACGCATGGGCCGTGTGTCAGCCCCGGGGAGGGAGGGGGCGTGTCCAGGGTCCATGGCCAGTGGACTGTATGACGTCATTCAGCCTCGTCACAGAGTGCCTGATGAGGGTGAGGTGGTGCCGCCCCGGGCTCTCCAGAGCCAGCCAGCCGCACCAGCGCGCGGGGGGATGGAGAGGGCGTGGCGGGGGGGGGCACTGACAGCTGCCCTCACAGAGCCTTTGCAGCAAGGCTCTCGGGTCTCACCAGGAGACCTCGGGGCGGTGAGGGGAGACTCAGCCCCAGAAAGGACCCCAAGGCGGTGAGGAGGAGACCAGACACTGAACGGACGAGCACTCTAGAGCCGGCCTCCCTGGGCAGGTGAGGCTGAGACCCGTGGTCTCCAGAAGTTGCTCCCGGGACCGCGCCTGCCTGTCACCTGTCACCTGTCATCTGCCCTCTGCCCCCTGCCCCCGCCCCTTCCTCACCACCAGGCCAAGGGGCCTCCCCTAGAAGTCCTGCCCCGCAGGCACGTGGGCCTCCCTGCCCCGCCCCCACACACGTCACCACAGGGACAGACACACCTGCCGGCCAGCAGGCTGGGGCGCCGGGCCTCTGCCTTCCCTAACTCCCAGTGTCCCCGGACTGCTCGCAGCAGTCATCATTTTCAGTCTAAAACATGGGGGTGCAGCCGTCTGGCAGCAGGCAGCCTGGGGCTCGGGGGAGCCGGCAGGGGCCAGATGCCCACGGCGGGTTGGTGAAGGCGGCAGCGGACACATTTTCAATCGGTGTTAAGAACTGCAAGCATTTTCTCAGTAAAAGAAAATCAAATAAACAATAAACTAAAAAGGGAAAAAGAAAGGAAAAGTGACGGAATAATCAAAGAAAACCCTTCAGAGTGGAAGAGTTTCTTTTCTGCGATAAGCTGCTTTTACTTTGTGTCTTTGGCTCTCACTCCATTGTTGGAGCCTGATCCTCAAAAGACACCCTAGAGGACTCCCTGAAGTCGGGGTGTCTCAGGTCCATGAGAAATTTGGTGGGAGTAAGAATGTGAGTAGAACCTGCGGGAGAACAGAGGCCAGCTGACTGCTTGAACAGAGGAACGCCACAGGACATGCCAACGTGGGCCCGCACGTCACAGCCAATGACAGGGCGCAGGGGCAGGGGGCCCGCGCGGGCCGGGCAGCGGGCATGCAGGACTCGGGTGGAGGCACGCAGCGGATGGCAGCTGTCGGCGCCAGGCCTCTCGGGGATCCATGTGGGTAACCCCAGCCCCCCTCCCCCGCCCCCAGACCAGTTCCCACTTCCCAGCCAAGGCACCGCAATTCAGGGCTGAAGGCACAGGGCAGGTGGACACCAGGCCTGGCGGGGGCAGCTGCTGTCCAGGAAAGCTGTGCTTGAGCTGAGAATTACCCAACACACTCATGCAACATGGAGCAAGCCGGACAGAGAGCCCTGTCCCGGGGCCTCCAAACCACCACGGCAGAGCACACGCGGGCCCGGGCACCGGAGGGGGAGCTGCGGGAGCGCCAGCGACAAACCCGGTGGTGGGGTGTGGCGGGAGGGCTGACGGCCGGCCCGTCTGGGCCCCCCCAGCAACGGCCACATGGCCTGGTGTGGAGAACCTGCTCCCTCTGAGAACTTGGGGGGTTACCCCAAACTAGAGGAGTAAAACTGACGGAAGGGGCAGAAGGCCAGGCCATGTATGCTGACAGCCTCCGGCCAGTCGTGTCAAGGAGCACCAGGCCGGGGCAGGTCGTCTTACAGCGGCAAGAGGAGACAAAAGAGAAGGCACCGGAGAGGCGCGCCCCTCCCAGCCCCGCGCCGGGAAGCACCTCAGGCGTGAGGAAGAAAAGCAGCTGCTGCAGTGAGTCAGCTCCACGAGCTGGGGCCTTTCTTCTGGAAGAGTCAACACGAGGGCCAGAAAGGACAGGTCTAGGAAGCGCTGGCACCTCGTGGGCCCGGTGCTCTCTGCTTGCACGCCACGTGTGTCCCAGCAGCGAAGGAGGGGCACGCCACCTGCCACGCGCTGAGCGTCTGGACGAGAGGCCAGCACGCTGACCAGCCCCAGCACAGGCCAGCTGGCGGCCGCTCGGGTGTTAGCTCCCTCCGGGCCGAGGAAGGCGCCGGCTCCAGTGGCCTGGGCAGTGGGACGCGAGCCTGGGCCAGGAGACCGGTCAGGCTGGCTGCCGGGGCACACAGCAGACGGCCCTGGGAAGGAGACTGCGCCCCTTGGGTCCCACCACCCGGAGTCTTCAGGAGTGGCGCGTGAAGACAGACGCAGCACCCAAGCGTGGGATGGAGGCCAAGCGCCGGCAGCAGCCCCGCAGGCGGCAGGCGCCCACTCACCTATGAGCACCTCCCACTTCCCGCTGGCCTGGGTCACCTCGTAGGCGCAGCGCATCTCGTTCAGGCTCACGCCCCCCAGGATGAAGATGATGAGACGGGGGCCGCTGCGGTACTCGCCGGGGGCCTTGTTCTTATGCCAGTGCCCGTAGCGGGCGCTGGGGAGAGAGGCGCAGTGAGTCTGTGCGCACTTACAGGGTTGTCACTTCACGCCCCGCGCCGCACACGAAGCGCAGGTGCTCCCTGAGCTGAACTGGGCTGCAGTGTAGACTAGGTAGGGGCTGTGGGGAGAGAATCACCCGGTGCCCTTGCTGTGACCTCGTCGCTGTCCAGAGAGGAGGGTGACAGCCAGGGCCGGGCGGCCTGGAAGCTCTGCTTGTTCAGTTCGGCAGCTTCAACCTCCTGATGTCCGCTCAGGCACCCCCCGCCCCCGGGGTTCTGTGTGTTTTGGGCTTGTCGGGGACACGCTGCTGGCCGTGACCATGGGGCTGTCCGCCCTCAGGCTGCCGCGGGTCCAGGGCCTCTGGTGCCAGGCCTCCGAGCAGCAGGCCGCCGGGTGCGAGGCAGCCCTTGCCCACGTGAGCTGGCTGGGGACAAGGGGCGGGCCCATGTCACCAATGATGGGACAGCCAGGGCAGGCGCCGAGCCATGGGGTGTCCTAGGAGGCTTGACCAGGCAGCGGCCTGAACGTGGCCCAGCATTTCAGTGGGGGGTAGGTCCCCAAAGGCACCTCCTTGGGCGACACTAAGAAAGTCTACACCTTGATCTTGACCAACATCAATGAAAAATGGTGAAAATCAAACAAAAATCAAAATGAGAGGCAAGCTTCCTGTGGACAGTGAAGTCTCCATTCTTCCCAACCTATGGGCACATTAGAGACTTCCAGAAGCTTGAGGGCATGGGGAGGGGGGCTGGGGGGCCCACACTCGGAGCCGCTCTCTGCCTGGCGAGGCTGGGCTCTGCCGGGCTCTGCCGTCAGGGCTGGCCGGGCTCTGCCTGGGACTCTGTGTTTTACTCCACTGTTGGCCACGACATCTGGTGGCTTCCACCATGAGAGGGCAGCAGAGCTGTGCCACCTGCCCCTGTGCAGGCCCAGGGAAGACGGGGGGCCGAGGGGGCGGGGCTGAGAGGAGGCACCTATGAATCTACATTTTATTTAACCTTCTCCAGTTGATGGCCATCTTGGTCATTTCTACTTTTGAGCTGCTCTGAATAATGCTTCTTCAGCAGGGTGGTTGGAAGACGGGAGAGATAAGGGGTGAGTTGTGCTGATGTCACCGGGGACAGATCACTACTGGCAGAAGGGAAAGCCAGTGCAAAGGTCCTGGGGCCGAAGTCTGGCATGTTCAGGGAAGAGCAAGGAGGCTGGTGCTGACGACGGGTGGGCGATGGGAAGACAAATGTGGGCGAGGGGCCACCACGGGAGCAGAGCTCTTGGGGCGCGTGGGAGGATGGCGCTGAGCCGTCGCGGGACTAGGTGGCCAGTGGCCAGCCTGACGCCCACGCGGGGCGCGCTCACCTGACAGCGGTGGTGCTGAAGGAGGCCGAGGAGCGGGTGGAGATGTACGGGTAGTGCTTGGTGTCAAGTTTGTCTTCAATCGTGTCCTGCAAAGAGGAGGAGATGTCAGGCCTGTGGGCAGGGCTGCCAGGGGCCCAGGGGCCAAGAGCCAGAGAACCAGCCAGCAGTGGCAACCGCACAGCTAAGAGCCACGGCCAGCGCCCCCGCCCCGCCCTGCTGCAGAGCAGAGCCTGCAGTCTGCTGCTCTCCAACAGCAGCTGAAAATAACAACCACGGTGATTTTTTCCTCCTTCACTTCCAGGCTTCCTCTTCTCTTTCACCTCCGTAAGGTTACACACATTGCCTCTGACTGATACATTCCTGACACCTGCTACCAGTTTTCTAGAGACCAGGTACAGGCAGTCTCGCAGCCCGAGCAAGCCTGACACCCGCGGTTTTCCAGGGGTGTGATTATCTGGCGGGCGGAGTCCGATCACCCACCTCCTGCCGCCCAGAAATGTACACCCCTCCTAACACTTACTCCGAGAGCTGACAGCCGCTCTTTGGGGTGGGGAGGAGAGGCAGAAAAAGGGCTGAGAGGGAGGGCGGCAGCGGGGCTGGCTTCCTCCCCCATCGTTTCTAGATGTCGCCCGTGCACCCATCCTTTTCACTCGAGGGTTTAAAAATAAGAAGCTGACTCACTATACATCTATATATTTAAGGCCTTTTTATCTCAACGTCCAGCCACCGCACACCTGGACTGCCCCGCATTAACACAGGGGTCCTGGGTCAGGCTCGTCTCTGGGCACAAAGCGTCTGCCTGTTGGTGCAGGAGCTGGACAGATCATGGCCATGTTTTACCCCAAGGTCAAGTCACAGATCTACGCAGCCTTTCCTGGCACTACCCGAGGGACAGGGACCCACAGGGCTCTGCGGTGCCCACTCCCTAGGTTCACAAACATGGAACACCTACTCTGTGCAGGGCATGGTGCCAGGGCACACAGGGGCGAGGGCACAGGCCCAGCATAAAGAATGGCCCTCGACACAGGCCCGAGGGACGCCCTGTGGGGTCATGCGTGGGAGTGGTGAGACTGACCGGGACACAGGCCAGGATGAGGGCGTGAAAAGGAGGGAGAATGTCCGGGGGTGGGGTGGGGCAGAGATGTGGCTGGAGGCTCTTGGCTGAGGTGGACAGTTTAGGACAAGAACAGCAGCAGAGGTGCCCCTTGTACACCCATCAGTGGGGCTTGCTGGCACCACCGTGTCCTGGGCATGGCATGTGCCACTCACCTGAGCAGTGCTCAGCAGGGCTCGGTGCCTCTGGGTGTGGTTCCTCTAAGGTGGGGTCAAATCCCACGGATCTCAGGGCCTGACCTGGCAGTCTCTTGCAACTGAACTTAAGGGCCCGGAGGCCCTGAAGCTTCAGCGCTGGGTTTGCCGTGAGGGCAAGACTCGACGCACATCCTCAAGCAGAGGAACCCTGAGGTGACAGCCACCCAACAGCAGGCAAGGCTGGAGGCCTCTGGGCCCTCAGCAAAGAGCCCTGGGCGGGTCTGTGCCTCCACCCCGGAGGGCCAGCACCCACCTCCATGATGTCCTTAATGATCGGGGTCCATCGGGAGAGCTGGTAGGTCTGCTCACTGATGCGCTCCTTCCGCTCTGGCTTGCTCCTGCGACGCAAAGTGGACTGGACACACACATGCGGATCAGGTGGGGCCGGGCCCTCGGACACGCGCGCGCGCACACGCAAGCGCCCGCCGGGCCCTCGGACACGCGCGCTCATACATGCAAGCGCCCACCGGGCCCTCGGACACGCGCGCGCACACACGCAAGCGCCCGCCGGGCCCTCGGACACGCGCACGCACACACGCAAGCGCCCGCCGGGCCCTCGGAACGCGCGCTCATACATGCAAGCGCCCACCGGGCCCTCGGACACGCGCGCGCACACACGCAAGCGCCCGCCGGGCCCTCGGACACGCGCGCTCATACATGCAAGCGCCCACCGGGCCCTCGGACACGCGCGCGCACACACGCAAGCGCCCGCCGGGCCCCCGGACACGCGCGCGCACATACAAGCGCGCACACACAGGGTCGGGCGGGCCGGGCCCGGGACACATGTGCCTCTGGGCCCTGGGTCCTCTCCCGAGGGCTCCCTTCAGAGTCTACACCCACAACGAGTAACGAAGGGGGTACGTTTTCTCGGAAAAGACCAAAATATGCCCCTTTCAGAAACCTGGAGCAAACTCGGTACTTTAAGCCATGAAAAGTGGCAAATGTAGGTCAAATATATGCGGCATTTAAAAAAGTCCAGGTAGTTATAAAACATAGTTTGCTGTCGATGTAGAAGAAAATACTACTTTAGTTGTGGCTTGTTGTTCGACTTTGTTTCAGGGACAGAGATCCTGGGTGAATGGTCTCTGGGGCAGGAAGCAGCAGGCGGCCCCGGCCCCACCCAGGGGGCCAGGCACTCGGCGGGTCACAGCCAGGGCCCCTCCAGGGGGCCAACCCGCCAGCTGGGGAGAGGCTGGGTCTCCGAGGGCGGCGCCAGGCCAGCTGGACCCGGCAGCGGGGCAGAGGCTGGCGGGGTCTCGCTCCGCACGGACGCGAAGGCGCCTGGGAGCGTCTGGGGCTCCCCTCCACCTCAGGGCCCCGGGCTGCGCCCCGACCCTGCCTGCTCCTCTCCCTGGAGGTGTGGACCCCAAGCTGCGGAAGCGGAAGCGCAGCAAGGGCAGGGCGGGTGAGACTCCAGCCTCCCGCCCCCAGGCCCCGGGCCCTTACGTCAGTGACGATGGGCACCCCCAGATGCGCCATGTTGGTGATGATCTCGCTGTCCTCGGGGGGGATCTGGGCGTGCTGGATCAGCTTGTTCAGGTTTTCCTCGGTGATGCCTGTGCGGACAAGGCCCAGTCACCACACCCAAGCTGTGCATGGCGCACCGGGGCGCGCGGCTCCTCCTCCGGAGGGAGGCCAATCCCGGGCGACAGGGCCGGCCGCGGGGCCTCCGCCGCCCGCCGGGTCTCAGCTCTTGCCCGTCTGCTTCTCCACCCGCCCCGCCCCGCGCCAGTGAGCGGCAGACTCGGTGCCCATCTCTGCACCACCGCACTGAGGGGTCTGTGGGTGGGCGGCTCCCAGGGCCCACCGGAGCCACTGCACACACGCGCAAGCGGAGAGAAGCGGCGAGGAAGCCGCCGCCCGGCTGGCGATCTGCTGCCCTCCAGCCACCCGCCGCCGCGTCCTCCCTTGCTGCCAACACTCAGCTTCCAGTTGCAACTGACTTGCCCACATTGCGTCTCCCCAGGTGGGAGCCCCTGGGCTTACTGAACGTCTCTGCCTCCCCTTTTCCTGATCTTTTCCCTCTGCGCCTCCTCTCCCGGCTGCCTCATCTTCCTGACCGGGGGCTCTCCCTCCCTGGATCTCCCCATTCCTACCATTCTTCAAAAAGATGTAGAGCAGGATGATGCGGATTTTGTCGTAGGTGCTGACATTTGCATCCAGGAGGATGGGGACAATGGCTCTCATGGGGTCCTTGATCTTCTCCCCTTCAGCATCGGTGCCCATGGCCAGGTCCTGCAGAAAACACTCCATGTCGGCCTCGTGCCTGATGGCGTCTTGGGCAGGCCGTGACCACTGGGGGCTGGGACGGCACGTGGGGTGCGCCTTGGCCGGGCACTCTCCCACAGCACCTCCACCCTCGGGCAGGGCACCCGCATGGTGTCACCCACACTGTCCCATTACTGGGAGACGTGACGAAAGCCCCGGCCACGCTTCCCGAAAGTGGGAGTCGCCGCGTGGTTCCCTCCAGGTGGTGCCAGTGCACCTGTGCCGAGGGCCCAAGTCCTGGGCGGGGAGCCCTCGAGCGACTGCCCCGCTGAGGGCCCAGGGGTGCGTGTCCCCCAGACCTCCACATTTTACTCAGGGAGACGGAGGAGAGAAGGGCTGACGCAGAGCCGACGAGGGGCACAAGCTGCTGGCGCCACGTGCCAGCTCGGGCGAGGGTCAGGTCCCTTCCCGGCAGGCAGAGCGCGCACACGGCCTCTCGGCCGAGCCCTGACCGCTGGGCTTGCTCTGAGCTCCGGGGGGCTGCCTGAGGCCCCTCTTGTCTCTCAAGACCCCAGAAGTCTGTGCAACTAAGCTGCTGAGTGGGTGGCTGGTCGGTGTCTGCGACAGGAAGCCGGGACCTGTCCCGAGCCCCTTCCACGCCCCTCCCGTGCCCAGCTCAACCGACGGCTCTTCAGCAGGGCCCGGTCCTTAGTCGTCTCAATGGCAGGTCTGATGCAGCCAGGTCGGTGGACACTGGCGCAGGTGCCCAGGACGACCCCGGCGCGTCGGTATCCGTGCAGCAGCACCCCACTCTGGGCAGCCGAGTGCTGCGGGAGAGGACGCCTGCCCGGGCTAGGAGCCTGTGGGGCGGCGGAGCGGCGTGGGCAGCCCGGGAACCTGGGCACGTCTCACAGGGCCACCGCGCCCGAGTCTCGGCTTCACACCGCGCGGAGCGTGGGCTGGTTTCTCTGTGAAAGGTGCCGTCCGCTGGGGTTTCAGAATCATTTCGGGCTCTTTCCTCAGAAGTCAGACTTGCAGATGGGGCGCTGGGACGAGTGACCACATAACACCCCCAAACGAGGCGTCTTGTTACTGCCCTCTGCCGAGAGGAGAAGGGAGAGGAGCGGACACCGCAAACAGGCCGGGGCAGAGAGCCCGCAAAGCCGGAGCGCTCGGCCGGCCGCCCCAGCGCCGGTGGTGCCCACAGCGGCTGCACTGTCCTCCTTGGCCCCCGAGTGTCCGCAGCAGCTCTGGCCTCGGCAGCAGGACACACGCCAGAGCGTGAAGCCCAGGCAGCTGGCGTGTGGAGGCCGGGCCTCTGCGCTGCGGTCTCTGGAAAGCCAGGACCCCACAGCAGGGCGGCCGGGCCCCTCCCGGTCCAAACGCCGCGCCAGACCCGAGACAGCAAGTCTCGCAGCGTTGCCAGCTGTCTCTGGGGCTCCGCGGGGCCCAGGTCAGAGGCGGACACTGAGCGGGGCCAGGGCCTGGCAGGGAGAGGGTGCGCCCACCTGCTCCACGCGGCACAGCTTGTCCACGGTGCCCTGGTAGTGCTTCATGCAGTCCTCCGCCAGGTGCAGGTGGGTCGAGTACTGGAAGGAGCAGAGTGTGGGGCCCCGTCAGCGGCTGCTGAGTCCAGGTCCTCTGGGCCCCCCCATGTCAACAGGGCGCCCCAGGGAGACCACGGCCCGCCTGCCTCCTGCCTCGCAGAGGAGCTGGCAGGCAGGTGCAGCGTGGGGAGGGGTGCAAGCCACACCCGTAAAGAGAGGGAAGGCGGGGGACGGCCTGGGGGGGGTGTGCGGCCATTCCCAGCCCTCCCTCCAGAAGGGGGAGCCTGGCCCCACCTGGAGTGCGGGCTGGATAACGCCCAGTTGGCGTCACTCCCCTCCGGGGAGCTAGGTGCCACGGAGTGAGGGGCGGGATCAAGAAAAGAAAAATGAAGGGACTAGAAGGGGGGAGTAAGCTGCCCGTTCCAGCCTTCCGAAAACCAGGACGACTAAGGCCTGGCGCAGGGCGCTGGGTGAGCCCGGGGCAGGGCGCGCTCCGGGTGGCGGCCGGTCGCCTACCTTGCTGAGCTCTTTCTGGTACTGGGGCATCTTCTTCAGCATCTGGGACAGGTCCCGCATGGTGGTCTGTAAGGAAGCGAAGACAGTCTCACTCCAGCGCGAGGCCCTGAGCTAGAGGCCGTGCGGGGTGCTGGATTCGAGCTCTCCCATGAGCAACAAAAGCTTTCCTCGGGCTCAACTGAGTCAGGGCCAGTAACTATTACTGCAGAAAGAGTAAATGTGAATCCCCAGAGTCACAGAAAGCAGCTGAGAATCAAAAGACAGGGCCCCCAGGTCTCCTGCCCGAATGCAAACGTAAGACGGAACGGCCGTGAGTGAAGAGAGGACGGGCCCGGCTCGGGGCCGAGGCCCCCACTCTCGCGGGAAGCGGGGGCCCATGTGAGGGCGCCGGGGTTACCTTCTCTCCAGTATTCATTCTCTTGCTAGAAGAAAAGTCTTTCAGAGATCGCGTGACTTCCCTGGAAGACAGAAGAGACAGCGGGTTTCAGCGTGCCGCCAGGCGCGTCCGAGACGCCACAGAAGCGAGGCGGGGCGCCTGCCTGGGGAACACACGGGCGTGGGCCCGCCGTAGGGTGCGCTGCCAGGGCCTCTGGCGACAGCACTGTTCTAACCAGGTCTGAGGGCGGATCCGAGAGGGGAAAGAGCAGGACGGCTGCTGCTCCTTTCGCTTCGCCCACCCTTTCCGGTTTTGCCCGCCGCCGCCCCCGGGGCGGCCATGCAGGGGTGGGGGCGGCCCTTACTGCGACACCTCCGCGATGTGCTTGTGGCGCAGGGCGATCCACAGGTCGTCGTCCTCGTCCAGGAGCACCTCCTTCACCCGCGCCTCTCCGATGCCGCTGGTCTCGTACCTGCAGGAGACACCTCGGCTTAGCAGACCAGGGCTCCGGTCCTCAGCGCCCCACGCACTGCTGGCCCCGGCAGGCCCGTGGCATCTGCGTGGACACGGCCGTGGCTTCCCGGGCAGAGGGATGCGTCCGCCAACGCACGTGGGGTTCCCTTTCGACATGTGGGTCAGCTGGCCTGACCCCACGCCAGGTTCGGAGCGAGAGGGTGGGGTATAGGCCGGTACCGAGTTCTCGGACGGCAGGGCCACGTTTGTTCCCTTACGGGAAAGGCCCGGCCTGGGGTGCCCGGGGCCTGGAGAGCGCTGAGACCACAGGTAAAGGACACGAGAGCCGCCCCTGCCGGGAGGGCGGCGCAAGGCTACCGAGGACTAGGCCCCACTTTGGAAACCCCCACCTCTGCGGTCAATGGTACAAAATGAACGTCAGGAGAGCAGCTCAGCCTGTCTCCAGGCAGGGGCATCAGTTTTAGAAGCTGAGTGTGTGATCCCTACCAAGAACAAAGTTGCTTATAAGAAAAGAACAGGCTCCACAGAAGATAAAGCTCAGTAACAAGCTCCTGTCGACACACCTTTATCCCATTTCCACTCTGGACGAGACCCTCCCGCGCTCGGGGAGCCAGCAAGCGCCTGCAGCCCCGCGGGGCACCGGCCGTGGCGGCCGTCCCACCCCGGTCCGCCCGGGCAGCCAGGGTACCCTGATTTTACAGTGCTCACGTCAGATTCACTCAATAACAAGGGAAACCCCAAGGAAAGGTCTGGGCCTCCGAAAGCGGGCGTCAGTTTGGCCAGCACCGGGGGGCGGCACAGGCGCCCCTCTTCCCCGGAGCCACGGCCCCTTTCTCTAGTGCTGGGAGCCGGAGCCTGTCCACGCGGCCGTGCAGCTCTTACTTGTACACGTCGTTTTCAATAGGCAGCAGGTCGTAGCTCATGGCCTGAAACGTCAGCTCGTGGAGGACGGGGGAGCTGGGGTCGAAGCCGCGGTCCAGGATCAGCAGCTGCGAGCGCGCCTTGTCGGGGCCCTGCAGGGGCAGGGCAGGTGTCCAAGGACCCACAGAGCCCCACCGGCCCGCTCCCTTGGCCAGCTCGGCTCCTCTCGTCACAGGGGCCGCAGGAAGGGGACGCTGAGGCGAGGCCGCTGGGAGCAAGAAACGGCTGCCTTTCTGCCTGCAGTGACCCAGCAACGGCCACCTGGCGTCCGCGGCCTTGCCGGGCCTCCCAGACCAGGCGCTGCTCACAGTCTTCTCCAGCAGCAAAGCAGGAGGATGTGCTGATCGCTCAGGTGACAGTTGGCAGTTTTAGCGTGCAGTGTTTTTAGATGAAGGTGTCTGCATGGCTTTTTTCGACATAAAGTCACCACACACCGCACAGTCCAGTGTAAACCAGTCATACGCGGTGGGAAACCAAACATTCACTCACACACGCTGCTGTGTAAACTAATGAAATCTGGGGAAGCTGCAGCAATTGTGCCAATGCCAAATCTCCAATTTTTGACATTTTCTACGGAGGGGGCATGCAGGACACTCAGAGTTGAAAGGAGGGAAGTTTCAGAAAACACGCCAATCAGTCACGGGACTGCATGGGCCAGCACGGGTGAGGGCCGCGTGCCCCACCCAGACTCACCTCCCCCATCGTGGGGTCATCCGCTTTGTAGGCGTCAAGCTTGTCCTGGATTAGCTGAGCCAGCAAAGCATTGTCCTTGTACTCCCTGACAAGGAGGGGACACTGGTGAGGTGGTGCGCCCCGAGAGTGGCGCCAAATGCTCTTGGGAGGACAGCGGGACGGGGGAGACATGGCTCCCCTGACTGGTTCTCGGCAGATGCTGGACTGTGCCTATGCGCACTGGCCGCATAATTTAACGAAAGGCTTAGCTCATTGCTGGACCTAAGTAACTTTCCAGTTTCCTACCGCACTGCCTAAATGCAAGGACAGGTAGCGCTCACCCGGGCGGGGCCGGCGCCTTACCCCCGGTACCGCACGGCCGGGTACTCCTTCAGCGTGGCGCACAGGGTGGCGATCTGCTCTGCCAGGCGCTCCAGGATGGGGTTCTTCAT